TTTGGTGACACCCCGTCAGCTGATCGAGCCCACGGTCTACATACACAGGTCGGCTCAGTCCAGTCTCCACGCGGACCAGTAACGGTACCGCCGCCGCGGGTCGGAGCTGACGCGTGCCCCACCGTGGGAGAATCGGCGTGTCGACCGGGAGCGGGCAGACGCCGTCCCGCGCGGCCGCCGCCGGCACGGGAACTCAGCGACGGCATGAGAACGCCCGGCGACAGTTCGGTAACACACAACGACGGTAAAAGGCACGGCACCAAGATGAGGACTGAACACTCAAGACTTCAGCCTGCGAACAGGTGCCGCAGGTTGTAAACGGAAGTACGCGAGTACGCATTGCTGTAGTGTAGCGACAGGTACCGGGGCTGGGTCGGTTTATTGGCAAATAAGGTTGGCAAACAGCCGGTCAATGTATGCGCCTTGCGGTGAGTCACCGGCACTGTGACCAATGGACCTTGAAAACACCACTCACGGCGGACACGGTCCAGCAAGATGTCAGCGATAGACGACCGTTAGAAGCTCCAGTGGCGGGTAGCAAACCGCACGACAAGGACGAGGGTAGAATCCCCGTTATTGGCCCCACCCGCATCCCGCTGCTCTCTGCACACTGCAGACCGAGACGCTGACCACCCATCAGCGTGCTAAAAGCCCTCCGATGCAGCGCAGGCCGCTGCCCCACAATCATCCCCTCGGCGGCGTCTTTACTAGGCCAGCGGGCGCAGCCGACCGGCACCAGTCCCATCATCGTGACTGACCGTGGTCTGGGCGCTCACAGCGCGGCGGCGGCGGACCGGCGCTGCCGTCTCGGCAGCCGCCGTCATCCTTGACTGCTGTCCCCACAGCCCGGTGGGTTTAACGCCGCATGGTGACTGGGCGGCGCAACAATGGCCTACGAGCTGTCATCCCACCGGGGAATAATCGCTCATTAACCCCGCAGCAGGCTGGTGTGATGGAGCGCTCGCCGACGGCGTCAGGTCGATTTTTAGGCCGGCCACCCGCCGCGTATCGCCCGCCGATCGGTGTCAGGGGTTAGTGAAAGATAGAATGAGACCAGCGGCCCGAGTGTTGGGGAAACCGGCATCTCGAACGGCTGTATGCCAGAAAGCCGGCAGATCGACCAGCTCTTGCTGATTCTACCGTGTTCGGCTCAGCTTCGATAAAACACCAGTCCGCCAAACATCCGGTAGACCAGCTGACTCGGCCTCGTAAAATCCCCTCCCCACCAACTATCCCACATTCTGCGGGCCACCTCTGACCGCGTCCCGAGCCGCGGTCGGATGATTGGGGCTGCCCGGGCTGTTCCACTGACATTTCTGATCCGCGTTCCGGCGAGCAGCGGCCGGACGGACCGCCCAGCCGCCGCCAAGGTCAGGTGGGGACGTCACCCCGGCCGGAGCCGGCGCCGCCGTGACATCTCGTGCCGACCGGTAACCCGGTCACCGGGCGGACGGACGGCAGCGGACCACGTGCTATACGGGGAACCAAATCAATCCGGAACTTTAAACATAAATATGTATACATATAGCCTTTGACATTGAAGAGACTATGATAAAGGTGTCAACTATCCTTATTGTCGGAAAAAATAGAGGCAGCGACCTAAAGAAGATGTTAAAAGTTTACAACTAATAATGAGAGATATACCTAGTCCGGTCGTCTTTCGAGGAAACTATTATCAACGACATGTGCAACGGGAAGACGGAAAATGTTTATAATATATTACGTGGTCTGGTTCTGTATTGCAAACAATCGTGTCGAGAATAGTCTACCCGGGACAGTTCAGTTGCGATGTCGTCCGGTGACTCCGTGCCGACAGGACACTGCGCTGGTGCGAGCCCGTTCCAAGCCGCTCTGGTGGTCACTGTTTCCTTTGACGATAGTCTGGGACCAGTATGCCGTCCTTCAACATCGCTATCGCGCCAGTGATGCCATCGTCACGGAAGATGGCCGATACATTTGTCAGACCCAAGCGATTATAAAATGCCTCGCTAGCCCACTTTCTTGGCTATCAGAAAGCAACATGTCATGTTTTGGGACAGCATTCCGAAGCCAGTCAGCCAGTTATCGCCAACTCTAACAGATCGGACGTCGCTGTTGCACCACGCTCGCCGCTCAATGACTGCAGACGGGGTGACCCGACGTCCAGTCGGACGGTCCCAACTGGCACTCAACAACAAGAACACGGAAGGAGCGGTACAAAAACAGGTTGCCCAGGCGACCAGCGGATAGCCATAAGGCGCGCACCAGATCGCTTTTTACCGGCGCGGATATATGTCCAGTACATACGGTACAGGCGTCACAACGATTAACGATCGTTTCAGATAACAATGCTCCTGTTCTACCCGTTATTAGGCAGAAAAATGACGCAAAAAGTCATGGCTACGCTGAGCACCGGTGAGTCGTCAGGTGCATAACACGGGTCGCTCGCGTCACGCGCCGAGGCTGGCTGTCGCGCCCCGCTGCGCCCAGCTGCTGCGACAGTCACGCCATAGGAGCAGGCGTGGGTGGACCCATCCGCCTCAGACGGTTTTTTCGGCATAAACCGAGAGCAGAACGACTTAGCATGTCCTGTGCGCGGAAATGTTGGCATGGCCGACGCTGCTTCGTTCACCTCGTCTATTAACAATAAGCATAGTCCCGCATGAGTCGGCTGGTCTAGGCCGATGAGGAAACATAATGTGGCATTACTTGAGCTGTATCACAGACCATCCACACATACCATCACACACTACTCCTCCGCTGATCACGAGTGTCGTGCGGTCCCTCCCAGCCCCGTCCGTGACTGACCTCTGTCGCTAAAGTCGTCCACTAGGATGATCTGCTGCAGCAGCCGCGCCGGCGTCCGGTTAATCACGCTGTGGATGGTGCGAACCAGCGACGAGAAGGCCTCGTTGGTGAAGATGATGATGACGTCCGTCGTGGGCAGGTCGAAGTCGTGGGTCCGACTCAGGCACCTGCGGCGGGGACCGGTGTCAGCTGTGCCCGCCGCACAGTGGACAGGGTCACCGGACGGCGGGTGTGCAACGAAACCGTCAGTGCGCTAGTGCTTTTTGGAACGAGTCGAAACGGTTAGATGATGGAAAAAATGTTAAAATTCATTGCCGGGTCGGTCATTTCAATATTTAATTCATGAAATCAGGTGGTTAAATTATAGAAGAAATCGGTCGTTGGACGAGCATGAAATCGCGAGCACTTGATGGTAACCGACAGTCTTGCAAAACTGCCTTCCTATCATTCTACCATTCACAAAAAATGACAACGACGTGGTACCGCAACATATCCAGCACACCAGGGCACCATGCACTGCTTTGCTGGGAGCCCGTCCGCGGCTACTCACAGCCGGCTCCTGGCGTCCGGCACGGTGCGGTTCGGCGATATTTTGTTGCTGAGGAGGATGTTGAAGGCCTCCTTCTTCATCAGCTGCTGGGCGAGAGCGTCCTCGTCCCCGGAGAGGTGGGCGGGCTCTCCGCCGGCGCCCAGACCTGGCCGCGAAGGTGGGGCGGTTATAATCGATAAATCGACTATGGGTGATATGAAGTCGGGCACTTATTAGCGCTTTACAGTAATTGTATCTTTCATCTTATCAACAATCGATCAGGCACAAATAAGCACTATCCCATATCTCTATAGAAAACATTTAAGTAACACTAGCCTCCAAAAAGGAAGCAGGCAGTAAATGTTGTTCCTTACCTGGCACAATTTTCCTGAGGTCACTGTCAATCTCACTGTCGTACTGTTCCAGGCCCTTGTGTTGCGATATTCCAAAGGCATTCCTCATGTCATCTACTTCATTTCTTAGTCGATCCTCAGACTGTTGCATTCCGATAACATCATAGTTGGGTATACTTTTCACCGGCAAAGCATCATTGTCAATGGCATTAAAGTTTGGCATGTCCTCAGATCTTTCGCTTCGCCTGTTTTGACTCAGTCCTGCTCTATGCTTTGCTGAGAAGTCACCTAACTGATCTGCAACACTCTGAGTCCCCCCACTTCTGAGAGCGCCTTTTCTTCTCCATAGCAAGAAACAGGATAAGACAATGATAACACAGAATACTTTGTAAAATATAGAACGCTTTCTTCTTGATGTCAGAAATGCAAACATGCTGAAAAGCTGTGGCACAATCAATGAATTCAAGAAGTAGTTCACTCCTGGTGTCCAATCCAACTACTAGCCAAAGTCCTGCCAACAAAGTGAGCATTGTGTCAAAGATCACAATACTGAATGTCGAGTTTTACAATTTGAATTGCAATTTTCAAGAGTCTCAGCCGCCTGTAAAAGCAAAAGTCTGGTTTGACCAATTGTAGCATTACAAACAACAAACCACCTGCATCAAAAATTATTTATCACTTTTTTAATGTCATTGGTTGATGAAAACTAACCTGAATATACGAAAATATGAAATTAATGTATGAAAATTACATGCAACACACCTGCACAGATCCGGTCTTCTTCAGCGGTATTATTTGATCGAGACAGCGCACGCCCAACAACACCGAGTCCCGAATCAAGACATAAGACCCTATATGCTGCCTTGCATAAGACCACCAATTCACTGTCGTTGCTTTATCCAAAATTCGGCATGAGACAACCCAAAACACAACCAACCACAGCCTCCTCCGCCCTCGACTGCTTCTCTTATACGGCCTTGGACTGCTCACGGACTGCTTTTCTTGCGGTTCTCCACTTCCACATCAACATTGGATGTACGATTCTTACCGGCTAAGTTCAGTTTGATGACGTCAATTATAATTATTAGTTGTTTTACTTTTTGTGACATAATTTTGAAGGTCATAGAAACATATTTTGAAACAAAAAATTAATAAAACAAAGTTTCATGATTGAAAAAGACTCAAAAACTTTTCCAAAATTTTAAAGATAATTTGACGTAAGTAAAATAAGAATGGGAAAAAAGTACTTTGCTTATGAAGGTAAAATGCTGCCATATCTGAGCTTGAGCGCCAAGTGGCTGCAATGCTTTGATACAATTGTCACGCATTTGGGACCAACGCAAACGTGCGTGTTTTGATGATTTTTTATGATAGCCGCCGTCTTGGTTCTCTTTGGACGGAATCCGCGGTGGAAGTAGGGAGTACCTAGGTATATTTCAAGAGGTAAGGTTAGGTCAGGTTTTGTTAGGTTTGGTTTGATTTCATTAGAAAGCATCTCTGGGTTTAGCGCCCCTCCTTAATCGCAAAAAATAAGTGATGCCTGCTTTACGACTACCTCTCAGACATTGGTTGATTGCACATGGGGACCACATAGACATGAATATTGATATGACCCACAATGAGATTAAGAAGCCTAGAATTAGAAATACCAGTAAAACGCCTTATAGGACGACAAACAGAGTGAGCGAGAGGGTGAGCCTTGCACGTGCAATATTGTGAGGGGTACCTCTGACTGACTTGTGCACGGCACCCTTTTAACCGGTCTCTAGTAATATGCCAAATTTGAGCGCAATCAGCCTAGCCGTTCTCAGGATCTGGAAGCGACAGCGACACCCTGCATGTGCGGCTGCGCACGTGTTAAATGGATCCCAACTGACTTGCATGGCACACTTGACACTACTAACCGGTCCCTAACCATGTACCAAATTTCAGCGCAATTTGTTCAGCCGTTCTCGAGATCTGGAATCGACCCCTGCACGTGCGCACGTGCAGCAGCACCCCAACTGTGGCATATGGATATGCACTGCCTAGTGGGTGTCAACCTACATGCCAACTTTCAGAGCAATCGGCCCATTAGTTACCGAGATATTGCAACTATTACAAAATTGACACCTCTTCGTTTTTCACGTGGCACGTGTGCATAAGACTTCACCCACAAGCATCGGTAGACGGTAGTAGTCAAATACTTGGTAGAAGGAATGAAGCTACCCTACAAAAATTACCGCATGTAAATCGGTCAAGTGGTTGCTGAGATATAAGCCTCGCAAAAGCGTTACAGGCTGGGCTGCGCCAGGCCGCTCATAGGTTTTGTAACCTGTGCTGTTCCTGTTACTTGTTGCAGTTGTTGCTGAGTATGGTCTGAGCGGATTGGCCACTCTGCGAGAGATGGGGAAGACGAGGACGAAGCGAGCGCGTGCTGCGCGCGCTGACCCCACCGGCCGTCAGGAGACCGGTGACGGCGCGGACGGAGAGGGGGGCGGCGACGCGCCCCGCGGCGACAGCATTGCCAACATCGTGGACCAGGTGAGACAGAGCCTCCCATTGTGTGGAACAGGTGAGACAGAGCCTCCCATAGTGTGGAACAGGTGAGACAGAGCCTCCCATAGTGTGGAACAAGTGAGGATGGTAGCTGTATCGTGGAAACGGCTAAGGATGACCTTAGTTTTGTCGTGAAATGGGCGTGACCAAATTACAAACATTGTTTGACTTGCTGATTAGCCCACCTGCGATGGTCTGCCGATGCATCTCGTCGAGATTTCGACTAGGTGTCACGGATGATGCTTTATGAAACATTTCCGCCCTCGTGATTATCCCTGGGGGTGGATAATCATCGGGAAGAAAATGAATTATCGGTGGGGTAACCAAGACTGCCTCGGATAACTTCTACCTGGATCATGCGTTTTTCGAATGTCAAAAAACGACGCGTCTACGCCATTGGAAGCAAGTCAAAAGGCAAACAACAGAAAGGGTACGTCGATTGAAGTAACTATATACCTACGCGGGGGAGGTCTCCTGTGAATTTCGCGCCCAGCGTGAGACGTTCTAGATGGGTTCTGATTTGAATGGGCCGATTTGTGAGGAAAATCATTTGCCTCTGGCCAGTATGGGGGTCGAACCCATGACATTCGCGTTATTGGCACGACGCTCTAACCAACTGAGCTAACCGGCCACAGTACGGTGCTTTAGAACCGACTATCGAATTTTGCTATTGAAATAGATAGTTTTGTATTTGAAATTGCTGATTATGTATAATAAGGTCGAAGGTCAAAGGTGCTTTCGGGGCCAAAGGTCAGACCTCGGATGCAGCCGGTCATGTGACCGGTCGGTGGCGAGGGACCCCGCACTGTAGATACAGGAGTTGATGTCCAGGGCCCGTTTCATTTCACTCGCCATCACTCTTCACTATTTATACGTGGGAACGACTCTGACGTCTCTCACGTTTCACCATTCAATCCTGTCGCATCTTGTCCTGCATCTATCACATTTGCGACAGCGCTGAACTTTGGAACCCCTTCAGCTTTCTGAACGTCTCTCCATCTCTCGCCCTCCCATTCTGCGGTCTCCCCTCTCACCCCGGCTCTCTGGCCGCTCCCCCAGCTGAAGTCTGCCGCCAGCGAGGAGCGTCTGAGCGGCTGCGTCACCTTCTCCCAGCTGGTGTCCCGCCGGCTGACGGTGGACGTCCTCAGACAGCACCGGCTGGTGCGGCTCGTCGGACCGCTGCTCGTCGACCCGTGCGTCGATGTGCGCCAGGCGGCCGCCGGCGCACTCAGGTACGATGGATGGGAGGGGTGGGGAAGGACTGAAGGGGATCGGGGGAGGATGGAGCAAGGAGATGGGGTGGGAAGGTCCGTGAGGTCGTGATTTGAGTTGTCGGATCATCAATTGCGTGCTGAATGCCCCTGTCAAACACGGCATTTATTTAACCGGAATAGTAGTGCAGTGCACTGTGGTTATTATATTTGATCATTATTTTGTGTCGCTGTTTCAGGAACCTTAGTTTGACGGGTGATAAGGAGGGATGTGACCTTATGCTGGAGCAGGACATCCTCACATCGCTCCTAACGGCTTTCGGCAAGGTAAGAAAATACGCTAGGTATTACATTAACTTACAAGTACTCGTACAATATTCTACCTTTTCATATTTAGTGATGCTCCTTATTGTTTGGTTCGCTTGTTTCAATTTTTACAATTAGACTGCGGATTAGATAATTGATAATTGTGCATTATTTCGTATTGTTTTGTCAATACGTCAACCAGATCCACATGTCTTTCTCGCGTTAAGAAGAGGCTCGTCTTAACCTAGGGAGGTACATTTACAAGTGGCACTGTATTGCCATTTCAGTTTTCCGATGGCTGGGAGCCACAACGCAAGATAGAAAAGGGACAAGTGCTGTTAGACGCAGAATCAGATATATTCGTGCAAATCACGAACCTGTTGTGGAACCTTTGGTAAGTGTCGGGAGGTGTTGTCCTTACGTATAATTTCCAAGGTCGGTTAGTCTTGTTGTACTGGTCCGGGGTTATCGTGCATCTTCTGGATGATAATCGATATTTGACATATTCGACATGATTGTCACTCTTTTTGTTTTGGCAAGTTATCAAGTTTTTATTTTTGTCGGTGTCCTTTTCATCCCTGCTCATCAATAGAGTCTACTGATCTGCCAGCAATCACGTTGAAAACGGTGAGCCAAATCTATTATCCAAGGCTCAAAGCATATCGCAACGCTTTTACCGAACGTTCTTTTGATGCCCCCCCCCCTGGCAGCGAGTCGAATGAGAAGGCGGTGGCTGCCGTCAACAAGAGTGGCGTGGTGCGCATCATGCTGAAATGTCTGGACCTCGCCGTCTACCCCAGCGAGGTGGTCGTCGCCGTCGGTAAGCCACAGACATACGAGCGCGGACAAAAATTGATACATTAATGGTTTCTTGATTGTCAAAATCTTTTTTTAGTCCTGATTGAGTAGTGAGTACCCGCACTCTGATGCCCCCAGGTCAGTGTCTGCACGCGCTCTCTGAGGAGAACGAGGTGGTGGCCGAGGTGGCGCGCGAACAGGCGGCGCTGCTGCGCGCGCTGGCCGCCGCGGAGGGCGACTCCAGCGACCGGCTGCTGCTCAAACTGCTGGCCACCGGTGGGTGACGTTATCGGATCTTCCACCTCTCTTTCTTTCTGTCTTTCTTTCTTTCTTTCTTTCTTTCTTTCTTTCTTTCTTTCTTTCTTTCTTTCTTTCTTTCTTTCTTTCTTTCTTTCTTTCTTTCTTTCTCTGTCACCCTCCCTTCACTTCTTTGCTGCCGCTGCCGCACATCCCACCTGTGTCGCCCGATTTCTCTGGAACTGGAACGGTTGGATGTGTGACGAACACCGCAAATGAGGCGGGGTCTGTTGGTTAACCGGGAGTTCGGGAGAAGTCATGGCTGCTGGACTGAAAATGGTAGCTGGACTGTCGTTGCTGCGTTGTTCCTGTGAGCTGTTGCTTTTTGGCATCCAGTGAGTGTGTCCCGGGTTTTGTCATTTGGACGTATCGACTGCATCTTAAGCTGTGGTGTTTTCATCAATGTCGGTCCCTGAATGGCGTATCATTGACTCTTGCTGACCGTTATCTGGCCGTCCTCTATTCGCAGGTATTCTGTTGAACGTTATGGGTGATGACAGTGACCTGAAGACGGGTCAGGTGGTGAGCCAGGTGTCCCGCGCGCTCACCCCCGACGCCAGAGAGCTCGCCTGCAAGGTCACCTCCAACGCAGAGGCAGAGGATTATGAGCTGCAGGTGAGTTATTATGAGATACAGGTGAGTTAGTGCGGTCTCCTCACGGCCGCGAGAAACGTTTTTCATTGAGGAAATGGACGTGTCCAATTAAAAAGGGTTGGGTGGTGTTATGCTTCAAGATCCAACAGGAAATGCCTTGTGTCTTGGACATACGATTGGGAAGATGTGAACTGGACAAGACCATCACAAATAAAGGTCGTTCGGTAAGTTTAGCGATGAAGATGAACTTGCTACGTTTAAAGCAAGGGAGCTATCATGTTCTCTGTGTTGTGTGTCTCAGCCAGGAGCTCGACTCGACTTGTCTGACACTTTCTTTTTGTTATTCCAGCTGACAGATCTTTCGCTGCTGCTGACGGCCCAGCAGGTGGCGCTCGAGATCCTCACCGACCTCTGCAGCGGAGACGGTACGTGGTAACTGAATGAAATAGTCGGCTCGGTTCAGCCATAGGCAGACAATGGCGCCTGCCGCCTTACCTGATCACCGTTTGTCTCCACAATCGATCTTTGTCTGGTCACCGTTGTCCGTCCTCAGATTCTTGGTCTCATGACCGTTGTTTGGCTTCATGCTCGTTATCACTATTACGCGAGTGCCGTCTCCCCCAGACTCTGTATCATGTGATCACCTCCCGTCTGTTCCCTGACTCGTCGTCGCGTGGCCGTTGCGTGTCCTCATACACGTCACGTGACGTTTGCCTCCCCAGACTCGTCAGACGGCTGGGCGGACCAGGAGGACTCTGAGGAGCCGGATGAGGACGCTGAGGAGGACGACTGCGACCCGATGGAGGACTCCCAGTGGCGGGACGACCCATACGGAGCGGCACTCTCCACAGAGGTCAGACTGGGGAAGTGGTGTGTGTTCAATAAGGTCAGAGGCGTCTCAGTAGTGCCTCACTTCTTTTTTACATCAGTCAGAACGAGTGGTGTCTCACTTCTGACTGGTGGAATTGCCGATGAAGTATCTGTTGTAAATGTCAGTCACAGGGCTGCGGAGTCGATGGATTTTCGGCGACTCCGACTCCGACTCCGACTCCGGCTTTCAAAAACCAGCTCCGACTCCGACTCCGACTCCGGGCAGAATTGTCGACTCCGACCGACTCCAACTCCCGACTCCGACTCCGCAGACCTAGCAGGGCTGCGGAGTCGACAGATTTTCGGTGACTCCGACTCCGACTCCGGCTCGGGTTTCTAAAATCGACTCCGACTCCGACTCCGACTCCGGTCACAACTGTCGACTCCGACCGACTCCGACTCCGACTCCGACTCCGACTCCGCAGCCCTGGTCAGTCATTTTCAATGTGGATGATGATTAATTTGTGTAACCTGGTTTGGGCGTACAGCATTGATGTGAAGCCTATTTCATCGCATCATATGATGGGCGCCGAGTTTGTGTTGGTGTGTGGTCGTCTGTCAGCTGGAAACCTACCTCAGCTCAGCTCCTCCCGGCCCTGTGTGACCCCGACCAGGCTCCTCCGACCTCCCCTCACTCTACACTGTCCGACTGGTGACCTCCCGCCCCCTCTCTGTGACCCGCAGCTGCAGGAGGCCATGGCCGGGGAGGGTCTGCTGAAGAAGATCGTGGCCAAAGCCGCCTGTCCGCCGGCCAACGTGACGGACATCCTGGCCTCCTCGCCGTCCGGACAGACCATCTGCCGACGGTCAGTGACAGTCATGCCGTGCTGGTCGAGACGTCACCGACACATTGACCAGCGCTGAGGAGAATGGCTGGTTGCGCTGTCACTATTTTCAAAATGGTTGTATGCTCGTATATTGTGCTTACGTTACGGAGTGATTCTATTTAACACGTTATACCATAGATAACAGTAGAACTATTAGTTCTATATTATATTAGAACTATAGTTCTACTGTTATCTATGGTTATACTTTTCTTTAAAAAGACATGCATCATATCGACCGTTGCATTTGCTGACGTCCCGGAGTCTACTAGTACTGTCCGTACTCCTCTGACCATTCCACCTCTGTGCAGGTTCGAGACGCTGCGGTGCCGCGTCTTCCTGTGCCTCAATAACCTGGTGTCGGCGCTGGAGCTGTCGGAGCTCGGCGGTCCCGGCGAGCTGACACAGCTCTGGCACCAGATCGGACAGCTCGTCTTCACAGACGGAAACGGTGAGCTGGGGCGGCTGTTGATCGGCGGTGGGCGCTGGATTGTTATGGAGCTGTGAAGTCTTTCGAAATTGGTAATATGGTGTCAAGAGCTCTTCATGTCGTAAAATATATTCATTTTGCCCATTGCCTTGCATGCAGCTGTAAGATTGCAAGGAACCGTTTCTTGCTAACAAAAAGAGGTACAGGTTGAGACGTTCAATAGGAACCGGTTTAGCTTCGAAAGCAAAACAGTCCGGTCTGCTGGCTGAGTATGCTGCCTGGTACTCGGTTTTCGAAGTCCCTGTGCCAGGCCCTGTCGGTGCCTCACTATTTATTCTCCGTCCCCTCTCTCTGTTAGAGTGCAGTGGCGAGGTTCTGGAGTCGGCCGCCGCGGCGATGCGCGCCGCGCTCCAGAAGCTGCTGGACGCCGGCCAGCCGGGTCCCTCTGAGCTGAGCGCGGCCGACCTGCAGCCGATGGCCGCGCGGCTGGCCGCCTGTAAGGACGCGGCGGCGCGCGCCGGACTGCTGCGCGGCGTGGCCCTGCTCGGCTGTCTGAGGGTGCGCGGCCAGGAGCGGCTGGGGCCGGCCGACACGGAGCTCGTACAGGTAAGGGATGGTGGAGGAGGGAGAGAGGCGAGTTTCGGAAGGGGCGGGGGACTGAGAGTGTAGTGACTCATTTCAGGTGAGGGACGGAGAGGTGTGTATGAGGGAGTTGACGAGATGGTGGACTGAATGAAATGGATTGGAGATTTCAAATATCAATAATCGATGGCTTACACCCAACGTCATTCACTTCGTGAAGTCGACGTTTTCGTGTGACATGTCCTATACCTACATTCTATGTGCTGTAATTATACTTCTGAGACTACGCCAGACTTTTAGTGAATGTCTATTCTTTACCTCACCGACCGTGTGCCGTTCTTGCACCCGCTCTGGGGCTGCACTGAGCTCCCTCTTGAGGACTGGTAACAGGGTGTGGTCTGACCTCTGTCCTCCGTTCGGGCCAGCTGCTGCAGGAGCTGGCCGCCGCTGCTGTGGTGTCTGAGGCTGTAACTGACCTCTGTCCTCCGTCCACAGGGCGTGGGTCAGATGCTGTTGGAGCTGGCCGCCGCTGCAGTGGTGTCTGAGGCTGTAACTGACCTCTGTCCTCCGTTCACAGGGCGTGGGTCAGCTGCTGTTGGAGCTGGCCGCCGCTGCAGTGGTGTCTGAGGCTGTAACTGACCCCTGTCCTCCGTCCACAGGGCGTGGGCCAGCTGCTGCTGGAGCTGGCCGCCGCTGCAGTGGTGTCTGAGGCTGTAACTGACCTCTGTCCTCCGTCCACAGGGCGTGGGCCAGCTGCTGTTGGAGCTGGCCGCCGCTGCAGTGGTGTCTGAGGCTGTACTGACCTCTGTCCTCCGTTCACAGGGCGTGGGCCAGCTGCTGCTGGAGCTGGCCGCCGCTGCAGTGGTGTCTGAGGCTGTACTGACCTCTGTCCTCCGTCCACAGGGCGTGGGTCAGCTGCTGCTGGAGCTGGCCGCCGCTGCAGTGGTGTCTGAGGCTGTAACTGACCTCTGTCCGTTCACAGGGCGTGGGGCAGCTGCTGTTGGAGCTGGCCGCCGCTGCAGTGGTGTCTGAGGCTGTAACTGACCTCTGTCCGTTCACAGGGCGTGGGTCAGCTGCTGCAGGAGCTGGCCGCCGCTGCAGTGGTGTCTGAGGCTGTAACTGACCCCTGTCCTCCGTCCACAGGGCGTGGGCCAGCTGCTGCTGGAGCTGGCCGCCGCTGCAGTGGTGTCTGAGGCTGTAACTGACCTCTGTCCTCCGTCCACAGGGCGTGGGTCAGCTGCTGTTGGAGCTGGCCGCCGCTGCAGTGGTGTCTGAGGCTGTAACTGACCTCTGTCCTCCGTTCACAGGGCGTGGGGCAGCTGCTGCTGGAGCTGGCCGCCGCTGCAGTGGTGTCTGAGGCTGTAACTGACCTCTGTCCTCCGTCCACAGGGCGTGGGTCAGCTGCTGTTGGAGCTGGCCGCCGCTGCAGTGGTGTCTGAGGCTGTAACTGACCTCTGTCCGTTCACAGGGCGTGGGTCAGCTGCTGTTGGAGCTAGCCGCCGCTGCAGTGGTGTCTGAGGCTGTAACTGACCTCTGTCCGTTCACAGGGCGTGGGCCAGCTGCTACTGGAGCTGGCCGCCGCTGCAGTGGTGTCTGAGGCTGTACTGACCTCTGTCCTCCGTCCACAGGGCGTGGGGCAGCTGCTGTTGGAGCTGGCCGCTGCTGCAGTGGTGTCTGAGGCTGTAACTGACCTCTGTCCTCCGTTCACAGGGCGTGGGTCAGCTGCTGTTGGAGCTGGCCGCCGCTGCAGTGGTGTCTGAGGCTGTACCTGACCTCTGTCCGTTCACAGGGCGTGGGTCAGCTGCTGTTGGAGCTGGCCGCCGCTGCAGTGGTGTCTGAGGCTGTAACTGACCTCTGTCCGTTCACAGGGCGTCGGTCAGCTGCTGCTGGAGCTGGCCGCCGCTGCAGTGGTGTCTGAGGCTGTAACTGACCTCTGTCCTCCGTCCACAGGGCGTGGGTCAGCTGCTGTTGGAGCTGGCCGCCGCTGCAGTGGTGTCTGAGGCTGTAACTGACCCCTGTCCGTTCACAGGGCGTGGGTCAGCTGCTGTTGGAGCTGGCCGCCGCTGCAGTGGTGTCTGAGGCTGTAACTGACCTCTGTCCTCCGTCCACAGGGCGTGGGCCAGCTGCTGCTGGAGCTGGCCGCCGCTGCAGTGGTGTCTGAGGCTGTAACTGACCTCTGTCCTCCGTCCACAGGGCGTGGGCCAGCTGCTGCTGGAGCTGGCCGCCGCTGCAGTGGTGTCTGAGGCTGTAACTGATCTCTGTCCTCCGTTCACAGGGCGTGGGCCAGCTGCTGTTGGAGCTGGCCGCCGCCGACCCCGAGCTGCAGGTAGTGGCCGAGGCTCTGGACGCGCTGATGGACCTGTTCGGTGAGGACTGCACGGACGGCGCGGCGGCGCATATCCAGCTGGTCGGTCGACTCCGCACCATGCAGCCGGGGATCAAGGCCAAGGTGAGTCGCGCCGGACGGCGAGTACCGCCCCCCCCCCCCCCCCGCCAGACAGCCAGAGGGAATAGTTCACCGCAGGAGGCATTTCGAGTCGCTGATGGACTTGGTGATCATTCAATGTAGTTTCAGTTTGTTTTTGCGCATAAAGCTTAAAGGTAGTTGGTTCGCTCAATGTTTGCAATTGACAATTGTCATATATTTGTGATCACATGAATATAATTTCACGAACATAGTTTGTTGATAACTTTTTGCCATTTGGATTAGCTTTACCTTTTCGAAACAATACTTTGCTCCGTCGAAGTCTCGAAGTCTCGCTATCAAAGGCTGAGCGTTCGTTTGATTTCGAACTCGTAGGCTCTATTTTACTTGCTTTCCATAGTTGTTAGGAGCGAGCGAGCGCAGCGAGCGAAGCGAGTCTTTTCAATATAACGGAAAAATCTTAGTATGAGCGGCCCGGCCCGGCCCGGCCCGGCCTGTAACGCTTTTGAGAGGCTTATATCTCAGCAACCGCTGGACCGATTGGCCTGCGGTCTTTTTTGCTGGGTAGCCCCATCCCTTCTACCCCGTAATTGACTACTTTTGATACACCTCAGTGACCGTCGTGGCACGTGCCACGTGAAAAGTCAAGGGTGTTCAAGCTGTTTTGCAAAAGTAGTGATTTTGAGAGGCTCATATCTCAGCAGCCGCTTGGGCGATTGACTTGCGGTAATTTTTGTAGGGTAGCAGCATCCCTTCTACCAAAAATAGGATACTCCCGAATCCCGATGCATGTGGGTCACCCCCAGTGCACGTGCAAAATACAACAATGAGAGGTGTCAAATTTGTTCCCATTTTAATAACTCGGTAATTACTGGGGCGATTTCGCTGAAACTTGGCATACAGGTAGGCACGCACCAGGCAATGTATTCCCATGTGTTGCGGTTAAGGTGCTACTGCACGTGCGCACGTGCAGGGAGCGCTTCCAGATCTCGAGAACGGCTGGACCGATTGCGCTCAAATTTGGTACACGGTTGGGGACCAGTTAGTAGGGACTAGAATGCCGTGCAAAAGTCAGTTTGGACCCCGTTTGCACGTGCGCACGTGCAGAATGCCGCTTCCAGATCTCAGGAACGGCTGGGCCGATTGCGTTCAAATTTGGTACACCGCTAGCGACCGGTTAGAAGGGTGCTTTGCGCAAGCCCGTTGGATGTACCCTCTCGCCTTTCCGCACGTGCAGGGCTCACTATCTTGCTCGCTCGTTCTTCGTCCAAAAGGCGTTTTACTGGTAGATATTTCATCCAGCTCCTATTTTGAAACGCTTAAGCTCCTTTTTTCATTTTTTAAATTTATTACGGTGAACTATTCCCTCCAGCACTGTCCTAGTTGTCGTTTTGCCGACAGATGTCTCTGCAGCGGCGCCGGCTGGGCCAGCACTACCCCCTGGTGGCCACCGTCAGAACTAACCTGCCAAGGTTCATCAAATACAAGTCTGCGCGCTGTGCAGCTGTCAGTAATGGACACTAGATGACGTCAGTGACACGTGACAGGCTGTCACTGGTCACGTTGCTGCCACAGTTGATAGGTGGGGCATTCCACGATAGATCGTACCACTTTTTTCCAATTTGACACCCTCATCTCTCGGAATTTGACGAAAATTGGTCTCAGGGGTAATCAGGGGCTCTGAATCTACCTGTAACAATTTCAGGCTTATCAGATAAGTATTTTTTGAGTTATGGCGTATAACATTTTTTGGATCTTGCTTTGCAGCGCTAAGTTTGGCGGGCTGTAACTCTAAGACGGATTATTCAAATGTCAAATGTTAGATAACATTGAACTTGCAATGAAACAGAGATTAATATGTATTTTTGAAATTTCGAAAAATACGCTATTTTTGATATGTGACATATCGAGTTTTCTTTCATTTGTATTTTTTGGACTTTGGGACCAAATTTTTTTGAATTTTTATTTCTTTAAAAAAACATTTAGCTCATTGTTAAGAAGTGTGCAAAAAATTAGGAAGGTGTTCTTTCTATAAATGTATTTATTTTACGTCACGATAACGGTTTCGAATAGTGATTTTGGGAGGGGAGCTTACAAATGGCGTGGTAAAGCTGCCTAGTGACATCACGGGTTACTGAAATTTCAATTGAAGTCTTGGTCATCTGAAAAAATGAAAAGAGGGTTCATCCAACCCTCTTTCCTATAAGCGCGAGAGTGAAAAGGGCTGTTTGGTTCTGACATTGTTTTGGACGCCAATGGCCATAGCTGTCCGAGATAAAAGTTACAGGACGCATACATGGTGTCCTCCAGAGGTCTCACAACTTATATCTCTGGGAATTTTTGAAGGTCACATGAGTCACGTGACATCACTGTTATAAGTCAATGGGGAAATATAAAATCTGTTATTTTGGCGCCGATAATGATCTAAAACTATCTCACGTACATGGTATCGTGATTTCATGCACTCCTTGCAAAGTCCAATGCTTCACTTTTGCATTGTTAACCTTGCGTGACGTCATTTATGACGTCACTAGGGTCGTACGAGTTTTTCGTCAATAACTCCCGATCAAATTGAGCTAGAGAGTCGGGAAAGCCACCAATGGACTCGGGAAGACCTTCCGAATCGAATGATATGCCATATGATACCCTTTGCCCAGCTTCGTGACCTGAGGGGCTCTGACCTGACCTTGACCCGAGGTCAACTACTTAAGTTGACCTCACCCTAACAAAAAGTATACCATTCGACGCACCTGAGCTAGGCGAACACAATGATGCCAAAATCGCGGCTCTGCGGCCATTTTTTGCGAAGTTATTTACTAAAAACCGAACCCGTAACTTCAGTCACTTGACCTGACCTCAGACGCTACCGGTTCACCTGAGACCTTAAAATTGGGTACCAATCGCTGCGACTTGTAACGGCACACACGTTCGTTTTTTCCGCGAGGCTCTACCTCTATTAGAAGCAAAACGGCGTGCTGGGGTCGTATCAACCCTTCCGAAACCCATTTTGTTTGCGGGAAAATGAGGAACTTATAGAAAGAACACCTTTCTAATTTTTTGCATGTCGATTTGCAATGACATGGAGTTTATTTTGAAAAATAAAAATGTGAAAAATTTTGGTCCCAAAAGTCATTAGAGGCAAATGAAAAAAGATTAAGGTTTTTGTTCAACAATCAAAATTTTTCTTTAGAATTTTTAAGAAGTAATATCAATTTTTGGTTCATCGCAAGCTTAGTGTTGTTTCCCGTTTGTTGGTTGCATAACCCGCTCTTGAGTTATAGGCCATCAAACTCACCGGTACAAACCGAAGTTAAAAAAATGTAATGCAATATAACTCAAAAAGTTTTGATCTGAGAAGTCTGATATTTTGCCAGGCGTCTTTGGGGCCTATGATTACCCCTAGGACCGATTTTCATTAAAATCTGAGAGATGAGGGTGACGGGCCTGGTACGATCTATCGTGGAATGCCCCAGGTGTTCCAGCTGCCAAACGGGGCCGGTTTGGATGGGAAGGGATATGGATAAACAGACTGCCAACAGACACGCGGTCATCCCGCCCGTGCTCTATACCGGTGTGTACGTTTGCTCGTACATATGTTTGTATCTGCGTCTGCGGGTGTGCTGGCATGTGCGTTTTTGTATGTCGTGTGCTATCTTGATGAAGTGACGCATTTGTGAAGCTGTTTTGTCGTGCAGTGCCTCGCGTTTTGTGTGAAGGTTACTTGTTACGTCGCGGGGAAGCGGGGTGACGGTTGTGCATATTGACTCGGTGCTCTGGAGAACCGGATCAGACCGGTTGACACCGGTGTGCCGGCTTTTTGACCTGAGAACGCTGCGGGTGACCTGAGGTGACCTGGGTTGATCTGAGGTGACCTGCATTGACCTGTGACGATCACTGACCTATTCTCGGGTAGGCAGGGTGCGTGCTTAACGCTGCCGCCACTCTCAGAAAGCGATTTACCCGATTTTTATATGGTATCGCGGCAGGTGTCAAGAATACACGACTGGACACTGTCATCGAGTTTTCGTGGGCCATAATCAAAAAGCTGTATTAGGTTTAGCATTTACTATTTTTCGAGGGTTTTGTTTTTCAAAGATCGTTGCATTTTGAAGAACAGCATGTATTTCATTCTAACGCTGGTCAGGCGGGGTAACACACTTTGCACTGTTTATAAAAACAACCTGAGGTTTTCACAAGAATGGTTATTTCTCAAATCTGTTCAACATATGTGGCGAAGAAATAGCTTAAGGCATGTCGAAAGCTTGCGAGAGACCTATATCACACACTGCATTCATTACGCGGCGATTCAGTAAAACGACCGTGTCCATTTCGCACTTGGTACGAGCTGATACCACTATGTTTCTAGCTACGTGCGTTGCATGGGTTATAAGGCACTCAAGTATGTACGTACACGATATGAAGTAGATAAAGCGTGTGTAAATCTCTTGTAGAAACACTAGCCTCGAATCGTCCAATCATTGAATCCCTCACCATTGGTCAGCCAATATAAAAAAGCAGAACTTCTACGATCTTAAGCGTCTGTCTTGGAATGATCGGAAACGTAAGACTTAGTTCGCAACGTTAAGACTTAGCATGCGAACGTTAGTCACGTTCGCATGCTGGTCGAACGGGTTCAGATCTTCTTAGAGATTCCTTGCTGAGAAGCGGAACATCACTCCGTTGTCCCGTGTCCCCTACTGTGAATGTTTGGCTGTAGTTCTTACGGAGCTCAGTGGTGTCATGTCATGCCTTGGTCTCCGCTTCTCGTCCGTTTTCAGTTACCGTTTTCTTCTTCTCTTCAGACACCTCGTCATCCACAGAGACCGCCGGATTATCCTCCCCTCTGTACTCCGGGGCTCTCCTCTCCCCCTCTCCCCCCGCGGGGCCGTCGCGTCCCCCTCCCACCACTGCCGCCACCTCCATCGCTGCCCCTCCCTTCCCCTCCTCCTCCTCCCCCTTCTGTCCGGCGCGGCGGCGGCGGCAGCGCATGTATATCACCGCCGCCAGGCAGGGCCACAGCATCAGACCCTGCGCGATGACCTGCGCGTAGACGGCCAGCGTGGCGACGTCTCCGTCCGGCGCCGGCAGCGAGGCCTTCAGCAGCAGGAGCGCCAGGCCGCCGTTCTGCAGACCCGTCTCCAGACTGATAGTGACCACCTGAGGACAGAGAGGCACTCAGACGCGGTGGAGGATAGACAGAAGGAAGGGAAATGAACCCAGATCAAGGAGTCCTACAAGGAGTCCTACAATGAGTAGCAGTATGGGCGCGAAATGACCTCGCAGTCGGCGCGCCCCAAACCCTAACAAACAAACAAGGAGTGGCAGTATGGTCGGCTGGGACGGCACAGCGCGGATACACCGATCGGGAAGCGATCAGAATCAAACAGTTGGTGGCTGATCTCTACAGCTGTTTGTGGGATCCAGCTTACTCATGACACCCGGATGTGATTATCTGAACGCGTTGTTTCAGTAACAACCCGCGGTGTGTTCGGCCAGCAGACTGAATTTAACCGGAAAATGCGGACCAGTGAAGCGAACACAGGTTCGACCTAAGACACGGAGTGAACCGAGATTAGGTACTGGCCTTAGCGAAGTATCTCGCTTCACTTCGAGATACTGACCTGCGAATATATGTACGTCTTCTTGCAGTACGTCTACTTGACATAGGCTTAGAAGGCGAATGCGGACCGGCCTGAAAGCACGTGACTGACCTGCGCGACGGGTCGTCTGAAGAGCAGCGCCAGTCCTCCGCCCAGCGAGAAGCCCAGCAGGACGACAGCGCTGCCCATGAGGAACTGGTTGAGGGAGAGCAGCGAGAACTGTTCCAGGTTCAGCCAGATGCCCACCTGCGCGAAATGTCATCGGTTAGCCGCTGTCGTTTTATTTTCAGACGTTTCTATGCTTCGTACGTCAAGTCGTACCGTCGTGACGAGTATGAATTGACGGTAGTGCCCGTGTCTGTTTGTCCGATGGGGTAATCGCCAGATTAAGCCGGCGTTTCAGTCGGAATCCACGTCTTAATGTTGCGAAACTCGGTGTGCGCTGTTGGACCAAGGTTGTTGGCCTGAGGCACAAGAACGTGTGTGGAACTACGGAGGCTTATAGCGTTTTCGTCACTGTGCGACTGTGTTGATTTGGAAAGCCAAATGAAGAGACTGTTTCGTACGGCTTACCCTGAATGAACCCCTTGCCTCCCCTCTCTCCAAGGACTATCAACGTTGCGCGCCGGGATACTGCACAACTAGGAAGCCGAGCTTGTTTGGAGTATCACAGCCACAAAAACAACTTGCATTGATCTATGTTATTTGTTTTTGTGGTCGCCAGCACAGCTGGTGGCAGCCCTCTGGTCTGGTGTTTGGGGTAGTGTGCATAGTTTGCGCGTGTTTATCTCGCCTGAAATATAAACATTGTCACCTTAGATCCGTTCCGAGGTATTGACCAGACCCGCACACTCATCGGCCGTAGGTTTTAATTGCGCTCCTTATTTATTTCTGGCATTCGCCACGATGCGTGTGCGTGCGGTGTCCGTGCGAATTGCGTGCGGTGTCCATGCGAACCCTCGGCATGGGCTGCTGAGTGCTCCGCCAGTCGGTTACGGTCGAGATTTGATCGCGTGCGCCAACAATTCAGCGGAAAACATAGAGAGTAACCGTAAAAGGTGCTTATGTGAAAAGCATCTCGAGAATGAAAGCGGTATCATTGAAACAGAGGTATTGACTACATAGAGTTCTGTGGTCATCACATGCCATCTGTGAATGCTGAATGCGTCTCGTCTCGTTTCATGCATAACCTGATTTCAAATGCAGTCGAGTGCAGCTCTGTGATCCGAGGCTAGATTCGTGTTCTGACCTTTGCTCTAGCATTGTGAGTGTCTGGCTGGATGATATCAGTTAGTGCCTGGTCGCATTGGCCTCAGTCTGCACACTCAACGCCTGTTGTGTCTTATGGTATTTGTTTATGTCAACGGCTTTGTGCCTCGGGGCAAGACTGTCATCCGTTTATTTCATTGCTGGGTGTCACCTCGTCCACGCAGTAAGAATTCGCAAAAAAGCGCAATCAAAACAAGCATCCTGTTGATGATATGCGCAATGATTCACTACTATCCAGGGTATCGTATCCCAGCATTCAACTTGTCCTTGATCCGCTTTTCATTATCAGTCAGAGCCAGTCATAGTTTTTGTTTCGGTAAATCAGGGTCGATGCCGGCAGATCTAACCCGTCGCTGCACTTGAAGTCAGCAAAAACATCGTCCACAATGCCCTTCAATCGGTCGGGAATGGCCTCATCCTGGCCAGACTCGGAGCGCTGAGCGCGTGTGCAATGAGCCCGTCTGTCTTTTTACGCCGCTCTCCCGGGAGAGAACTCGACATACCGTGCAGAAGATGGCCAGCAGGACGCCGACCATGGGCCGGATGGAGCGGTCCGAGTACTCTTTCCAGTGCGGCTTCCACCAGCGCAGCACCATGCCGATGACGGAGGGCGCCGTCAGCACGAGCAGGGAGGACACGATGCCCTGGTACGGCACCTGGATGTCGTGGCCCGAGGAGGCGATCTTACGGCCCAGCGTGAACATCCACAGCGGCATCATACCTGCAGCGGAGAGGAAGACGAGGGTGATACCTGGACGGCGCCGCCGGAGCATACTTGGGAGAATGGCGGGTCATACTTGGCGGAGGACGGAGGGGCATACGTGACGTACGAAAGCAGCGCGGGTCATGCCTGTCGGTAAATCAGCCATACCTACTCTAAACTATGTTTCTTCTTCAGTTCCATCAAGCCAACGGAGTCGCAGTATTGCAGTGGAACCACTTGAACCGCCAGCTTGGATCTAGCTCCTGTCGCCCACCTCTAGCTTTGATGTTCCCCGGTTACATCAAAGATGACGTCAGTCATCGTCAGACCCCTAGGTGACGTCACTCACCGATGGCGGCCAGCGTGGAGACGAACGTCATGGTGACGCTGAGGTTGACGTCGGCGCCGAGCAGCAGCGCCCACAGGTTGCTGTTGCCGCCGCCCGGACAGGTGCCCAGCGTGAACAACCCCAGCTGGTAGAGCGGGTAGCGCTCGAAACCCAGCGTCGCCACCGCGTAGGAGCTCTGCGGAGAAAATAAAGTGGGCGGCGCAGGGGGGGGGATGATATAATGATGCTGTACATGTTGATATCTGAAGTGGTTGAACGGTGATGCTTCGTCAAAGTTAAATGATCGTTACACCGGCGTTCCTGCAAGCTAGTAGAATTTCAGGCGCGTGTACTGCGGTACAGTCTACTTTCAGGCGTTTGTAGGTACTGCGGTACATCTATCTTCAGGCGTGTGTAGGTATTGCGGTGCAGTCTACTTTCAGGCGTGTGTAGGTATTGCGGTGCAGTCTACTTTCAGGCATATGTAGGTGTTGCGGTACAGTCTAACTTCAGGCGTGTGTAGGCATTGCGGTACAGTATACTTTTAGGCGTTTGTAGATATAGCAGTACAGTTTACTTTCAGGCGCGCGTAGGTATTGCGGTGCAGACTATCTTCAGGCGTGCACCGCCCTACAGCCTCAGGCGTGAGTAGGCGTTGTGGTGCAGTCTACTTTCAGTCGTGTGTGCTGCGGTGCAGTCTTTTTTCAGGCGTATGTGTTGCGGTACAGTCTAACTTCAGGTGTGTGTGTGTGTTGCGGCGCAGTCTGTTTCCAGGCCAAAAATCCATGCCAGTGGACGCAATTTGTTAACTATCTAAGGCGTGTGTGTTTTGCGGTTCAGTCTATTTTCAGGCGTGTGTGGGTATTGCGGTACAGTCTATCTTCAGGCGCGTGTGGATATTGCGGTACAGTCTATTTTCAGGCGTGTGCGGTGTGTTGCGGTACAAACTACTTTCAGGCGGCGCCTCAGTGTTTAATTGGCTTATTTTGCAATGCAAACAAGCAGAAGAGTTCAGTTATGGACAGATACCTACGACTTTAAAATGTCTAGTAAGAGTCTAGTCTAGTGATGCTTCCGCTGACTTACCAGCGGCATGATAAGGAACTGCGCCAGGAAGCCGGTGAGCGGGCCGACCGGCTTCAGTAGCGACTGCTTGATGGCCTCGAACTCGAGCTGCATGCCCATGTTGAGGTTGCTGCCGAGCGTCATCACCATCAGGATGCCGTAGAAGGCGTAGTCTTTGGCGCTGTCCTCGCGGACGAAGCTGACGTGCACGGTGGAGCTGTTGGAGAGCATGTCGAGCCATATGGCGCTGGTCGACTGGTTGGCCGCGATGATCCAGGCCCGCGGAGTGATGGAGTCGTGTCCCAGGTACTGCCCGGTGACCTCCACCGACTGGGTGCGGCCGGCGCGCACATCCTGCGGGCTGAGTGTCCACGAGTCGGGCACCATCCGTGTGCGCCACTCGACCTCGGGCACCAGGGAGACGGCCACCAGGTCTCCGGCATCCAGCGGCGGCTCAGCCGGCTCGCCCTCACCAGCCTCCCAGCCCAGGGTGAAGTTGAGCACGCTGGTGGTGTGGCTGGGCACCTGCTGCAGCGAGGATGGACTCACGGAGAGTGTGAAGGCCGCCAGAGCCGCCGGAACGAGCTGCAGCAGCGCCACGGCCGCCGCCAGCACCCGACACATCGCGCCGGGCCGTCTGATCGGGTGTGCTGTAATCCGGAAACGTGCCGCCCGAACTCGGGTCACGCGCGCTCAGGATGTGCCACAATAGGTACTACGCAACGCTCCGTAATCACTTTTGAATGTTCATCAACTTGATGCAGTGCAACCGGATATCACTTTGTGTGGATTTGAAAGCTATATGAAGATTTCGCCACTCAATTCAATATGTAGAAGCCTCAGTTTGCTAAGGAAACAGACAGTAGTGTTGAGTTATCTCATTATATCTGTATTCAGAAGCCTATAATTGGGTTGTTATTTTGAGCCATTCCATTTGTCTCGTTGTCTTCCGACCCTGCAGGTACGAGTGCTGCTGCTCCGCCTGTTGATGTATGCCGATAGTGCCTCCGTGCTGAATCTAAACAGAGTGGAAGCAAGATTAACTGTCAGAACGCATGCACAGGCAAAAATTGCGCAATGCACATCCGCACAATTCACAGTGCACACAAGAAAAGGAATACGCTCCGCACTCCGTCCTCATTCGCATGTTTCACGGTATTCCCATAGTGAAATCATCACGGCTGTTGTCCTAATGTTGACGGTGGCTCTATCCCGCTAATGTTTGCTCGCGGTGACCCTCTCATGTCACGGCGGTCGGCGAGGAGACCCGGGACGGGACCTGTAACTCCCCGGCTGTGCGGGGTCGAGGCTGGGTCCCACTTTCCACCAGCCGGGTAAGCATGACGTGGTCGTTGTGATGCCATCCGAGTGGAAGGCGCCGGTCGGTTCGCGGAAGGACCGGGGTGCGTACGGTTTATCCACGGAACGTCTCCGGGTTTTTGTCGACAGAGCTCAGTGTTTGTCCGTGATGCAAATTTACAGTCGCGCAGGTCCGGCTCGGACACAAATGACTGACATTCAAATAGTTCGTTTATTTTCTCATTAGATTAAGACAGGCGGTCGGCGGTAGGAATACGTTGTCCCTGGTGTCTTGCTAAATGATTGTGGTACCGATTGATATTTTAGCTTTTTTTGAGCCGCTAATGTCTTACGATCTATCCCGCAATGCTCCTTATTCTTATATACTCCTTGCTTGAACGGTGACCTCGTGCATAAGCGACAACCATACGTCACATTTCCAGCGGGGTATACCATGCCTCTGCACGCCCAAGGCCCGGAAAACGACTTGTCACTAGCACCTCGACGTGAGTCTGGGGTGTATCAGCATGATAGTCCCGCGTTCTGGCACTAAAGACCGTCATCGGATAATTCAAAACAAGGAGCTGTGTTGAATAATATACGCACGATTGTTTTAGCTTTCAAATGTTTTCGACGAAGGATCAGGATGTACGAGTTTTTTTTACGGATATGTGCATCGAACTTACCAAACTTTTGGGCTTGTACCGCGGACATTTTTGGTGGCAGACTTGGCCCGATAGACCGTCCACGCACGGACCGGGCGCTTTTAGCGGTCACGGGCAACGGTCCGGAAAATTCAGGATGCCGAGCGGTGCTTCCGGCGTGACTGAGGGTTACAAACCGCTCTGTGAACGGCGACCAGCTCGAGTAGGAACAAGCCCCGAAGGTCAGCGGGGCCAGCGGGGTGGGACCGGTGTTCACATGGCGTGGTATTTACTATCTACAACCATCCCCCGAGTTATTACATTGAATGGGTTCTATTTACCGAAGTGATTTAAGGGCCCATTATAGGCAATTTAGCTGCTTTTTATTCAGCGTTTGCGGGAAGACGGCTTGCTGAAGATGTAATGGGTTTACCGAACCTATCGATGCTATCGGATTTGATTGAGCTCGATATCATCTGCGGAGTTTTTCTTTTCTTTGATGCCTGATGGCAAATTACGAGTAGGTACCTATAGCTGGCTGGAGCCGGAGCTGCCGGAAGCGGCATATTTCGCCCGTAGCCGCAGCCGGAGGCGCCAGAAAGTTTTATCGTAACCGGAGTCGCAGTACCTATAGTAAAAAAAGAAGGGCGGTTTGAGCTCTGGGTACACACCAACCAACGCATGGAGACGTAAAATCCGACAAGTTTTTAGAAAGTTTAATTCAGGCTGTGAGCTCTTCTAAATGCAGTGAGTGTTTGGCAATTTGCAATTCTGAACTGAAGAAGGACCGTGTCCGAAATATATTCATTTTGTAATTAATTTTGGAACCTTTTGCATTTCGCAATCATTGAACATAAGGTTATATTTGAAAACATATAAAGTTTAATTCATCACAATTGCCTTCTCTATGCTTCTTATTGTTTCGGTAGTCCGTTTCGGTTCAAGTGAGGATTCCTGACGTTCGGGATGCCAGGAGCCGGTACGGCTCTCGCGAGATTAAGCGGTAGGTTTTGCACTTTTACCTTTCCGGTTATATCTCAGAAACTAATCGATCTACGATGAAGCCATTTTACACGACCATGGCCGGCTTGTGAACCAACAAGTCGATCGCATCTTCAACACTTAAAAGCTTAAGACGACGAAGATATAGCCTGAAGTGTACAAAATTTTCTAGGTGCAAAACCTACCGTTAAAACCCGCGAGACCTGTACATTCTGCCCGCAGAGGGAACCGAAGTGCCCAACAGGAGTCGGAGGAGCCGTTCGATTTTATTGACTCAGCATCGCATCCCTGATCAGAATCGGACACCTACGGACCTCAGTGAGCTTAGTTTGACCTGTTCGAGCGCACGTTTTATGTTGGATACGTTCAATGTGTACCGATGTAATGTGTACCTTCGATGGATTCAGACCGACCAGTGGCTGGCGCTGACAGATGGGTTACTGGTCCATGCTCCCTGCCTCTCTCAAAGGACCGGTTTCATCATTGCACTAATGGCGTTGCTGCATTGCATGAAAAGAAATGAATAATTCCGTCGCCTGGCTTCCCGTTCAACCCTGGCATGATGGTTCCTTGTCTCGCATTATGTTCGATAGGCAAGCCACTGAATTGCCCAAATCGGACAGGTCTTGAGCGTATCTTACCTATCTTATCCCTCACCGGTATCTGTATCCGTATCCGAGATCATCAAGAAACAAATTTATTTACGTGCATGCAGCATATTTGCTTACCTTTTGCTGTCTAACCATACGGTATTATCTAGAGGCGCGGGTAGACGCCTCCGGTCCAGCTCACCTGTCCCTCACTGTTAGAGGTGCCGGTCTGACTGAGCTCACAGCCCCCTTGCAACTGCTCCGCGCCGTCCGCGAGCTCCGCTCACCACGCCGGCCCGCGGTACACTCGTGGGACCTCTGTCACCGCGCGGCGGGCGCGTGCCCACCCACAGGCGGCAGACGGGCTGGGTGAGTACACAGCGGAGCGCCCCGGCCCGTACCACACCCGGCTCCGGGAACCAGACTCCGCCGCCGGCACGGCACCCGCGCCCGGTCACAGGGTATAGGGGAGAGTGGGGTAATTTGGCCGCTTTTTTTAGAAAACGATATAACTTAAGATTGACGACACATTTCTGCATTTTCTCAACGCTGGCAGGTGTCGCATTCATTTTACTTTACTGGACAGTGAACTTGAAATGATAGAGTAATTACTTTTATTGAAATTGTGACGTATTACAAAGGTCTGCAAGGCGGCCAAATTGCCCCACTAGCAGGGTTATTTGGCCGGGGGTGTGGGGCAATTTGGCCGGTGTTAGTTTGCGGTCGGGATTTTCTGTTATATTGCGAGTCAGCTTCAGATTCAGCAATGACGTGTGTCCTATGACGCATTTGCTGCATTTTGGAGGTTGGCTCAGGGGTCACAGGGGTCAAAATAGCGAAATTAGCGGCTCTAGATGCGATCACCGTTTTTTACGAATAACTTTTGAAGTAATCAAGCTAGGCCAAAACTTTGAGTACCATCGTAATTCTCTCGTCAGTCCGCATCGAAAGATATATGTGTTGACCTTGAGAAGTCAAGGTCAAAGGTTGACCTCAGGTCACGTTGCATCAGGTCGCTTAACCTCAAGGTCACGTGATTTCAAGGTCATCATGCATATCATTCGATGCGCCTTGGCGAGCTGAACAGAATGAGACCATTTGTGCGGCTGTACCATTTTTATGTAAGGATTTATTAGCAAAAAAACGTTTGGTAACCTTTGATGACGTCACATGCTCTTACAGTTGACCAATCGGAAGTAAGGCATCAAAGTAGTCAAAGTTGGTCATGAATCATGTCATTTATGGTACAATTGGCCATGAAAACTCGGCCGTCCCAGCATAGTGACCATGAGCGCACCGGCCAAGTTGTCCCACTAGTCCCGGCCAAATTACCCCATATTGCCATTCTGAAAATTTATGTCTATAAAGTCATCACGGCTTTACGGAATTAGATAAAATTGCTCTTGGAACCGCTGAACACCCCCAAGAATGGCGCTATAATGTCTGAATTCGTTTTTAGCCCAAATACTACATGTTATACAACTTTGTAAACAGAAGTAAAAGTTACCATTTTCTAATGAAATTAACGTTTTATTAATTTTGAATAAAACTACGAGGGGCAAAGTTTTGACATTTGTCCTCCAGTTATTTCTACCCATGACAAATGAATAGAGACTAGAGTTATTTCACTCACTTTTATAAGACATCGTACAGGTGGGGGCGGCCAATTTACACCACCGGCCAAATTACCCCACTGGCACTCTCCCCTACGTGCCGTGCGGGTCGGATCCCGGTACAGAGGGTGTCCGGGAGACCCGCCTTATTTGATCGGCGACAGACTGTTGGATCGGTGGAAGGTTTCTGCTGAGTCATCCCACGTTGCCCCGTGGAAATCCGGCTCAGGTGAGCGGTGTGTAGGTCATGGCTGAGCGGGTTGCCACTGCTGCATCGGTGCGACGGTCCATGCTCCTGCGCCTTCCGTGTGTCGAACTCGCATATGAATGCAGGGGGGCTGAAAGCATGCTAAGCCCGCCGCCCGGGACCGTTTCAAGTCCTCTTAAAAATCGCTGTATATATCAACACGTAGGTACCGCGTAAAAGGGGATGCTCATATACTTAATCAGTTACTATAAAGCACAAATTACTCGTAGCATCGCCGAAAGGGGTTTGTTTTCGGGGCTGGGGGACAGGAACCGTAAAAGGAGGTGCGCGAGCAGCCACCGGACGTATTGCGGCGCTGGAGGCTGCCCTTCGAGCCGGCCGCTGTTGACGCCACCAGACCGGACAAGGTCAGCGGATGCCGACTATATTGGCTGAATTATTTCGGATTACGTACGAAGCGTACGATTGTCTGTGAGTGTGGACACCGCCTCGCTGAAATCTACTATAGTGGTGTCGACGTCGTCTTCCTTTTTAAATTATATCGATTTATCAATTGCGTTTTTGAAGGCTTTAGTCACTGTTGGAACCAGAGAGATGTCACTGAACGCTGCTGAAAAGTACCCATGTTTCCGAAAATTACTATAATGCTATAGGATTTCCTGATATTGTGCTGCTCTATGTATGGCGGCAGTGCCAGTGGGTAGGTAATAATTGGTAATGCGCGCGGTAAAAATCGTTACAAATTTAACATAACCCTTACAATGTCAGTGACATTGACTTTTTGCCTAGTGCCTACATGCAGTTAGTTTTTGCTTTTTTGTATGCGGTAGCCAATGTTGGGGGGAGATAACTGCGGAATAGTGGTTTCGTCATAAATTTGCAGCAAAATAATTATCTCGTTTATGGCGGGCATGAGACAAAAAAGCTTTGTTCGCATTATTTTGCAAGTGCTGCTAGCGAAGATTTTACCCAACAGTTGCGGCCCTTTACCCAGATACTAACTTGCGTAAACAGTCTTGCGTGCAAAGATGAACATTATATCCTGAAGCATTACAGTGTGCTGCGCGCATTACGGATACTTGTCAATTATTTTTTATTTTGTTTTTCTCTGTGTTGGGACGGCGGGACGGGCTGCAAGTGCCGAAACTTTTGAAGGTTAAGTACAAAGTAGTAATTTTACTTGCTATACAATACATGCTTTATTATGATCACATGAATGATGAAGGATTTGTCAGCCATTCATTTTATATTTGTTTGTCTTTGAATTTTATCTCACAAGTTTGGAGTTAACTTTCCATCTTAAATAGCTTTACCCCATTGCGTTGCATTGCACGATGTGAAATTGTTTTATTAAATTCATTTAATAGAGACTTATTTGTTCACTGCTGTGCTTTGTGAGTTAGGTAGATGAGCTGATTTTTGCCAATCTTGATTGCCAGTCCCATAGCTCAGTCAATAGAGCGCTTGACTCTGTGTGGTGAGAGCACACGTTCCCAGTTTTAGCAGTCTTGGTCTGGGTTAGAAGCATGATGGGCACTTGACGTTTATGGGCCTCCTGACAGACAGGTATGGTTGCAGCAGGCCGTAGCCAGGTGAAGCAGTGAGGGCCTCGCCGTGCGCGGTGCGTGGCTGTGTACGCATGTTAAACTTTGTACTCCAAATTCTGCAATCTGCCATAGAACCGAAATTGCACATTAGGATGGTAGAGGGTCGGGTCAACACAAGAAGCTTCACTTAGCAGGGGCTATGTTCTTGTGAATCCTTCCATTCAAATGATTGGATTAAATTTATAAGCAGTATCAATCTTAACTCGCAAGTAGGTGCCTAACTAACTATGGAAGCAGAGTTGACGAGCCACACTAGCCAGCAGCCAGGGTGACTAGTCTGCACTGGATCACACCAGTCAGGCTGGAAATCAGCACCAGATTGCAATGAGCAAAGGCCAAAGGCTATCAATTTTATTACAAAAAGTGAATCATTTCTGATAAAAAAGTGCCACAAAATACCCCTAACTATGCATTTTCCTGGCCAACCTATTGTGACCCACTTTTTTAATAATGCAACACTGGCACAGTGGTTCAGCACAGTGATAACATTAGGCTCACAATGTTTCACACAATGTCATGCAAAGGTAAAACCACAGTCCACATGCCATTGTTTTCTGAACAATGACGTGTGGTTTTATCCTTGCCTGGCAGCACAGTGAATCGTCCACCACACCCACAGGGACTCACCTCCCACTGGCTGAGTCCCTGCGGCTCGCACTGACAAGATTTGGTCATCATTTCCATGTTTTCCAATCTAGTTGCCTATAAAATGATTCTGTAGTGAGATTCTAAGATGATGTAGTATAGTAATTTTTAATGTTTAATTACATGTCACCACAATTCAGCTGTGGGATATGCAGTGTGAGCAAGTGCTTATTTACCTATTTTGTTACCTATTTTATCATTTGTTTTAACTTTTTATATTTCAGAGATAATTCATCATGGGAAACTTTATGGGAAAGGCACTTGATGAGAGCTTCAACAAGAACAAGAAATTCATGATAGAGATGCAGAGCATTCAGGTATGAATTTGCTTGTAGGCATCTCAATATGCAGTGAGTGTTTGGCACTGTATTTTTTGCTCTCCAAGTTTTCTCCAATTTCCCTTCATTGCTGATGTTGTTACTTGTTGTCTCATTCTTGTTGCCTCATCTGTTTTATCATTTTACTACCTATGGGTTATATTTTTTAGTTTGTGCTGCTTCTAAATATGATCATTAAAATCATCATTTAAAAGAGAAGTTTGGTAAAGACAATAGCTATCTGGCATTAATTGTGCTACCACTACTTTTAAACATCAGTATGTTGACTAAATTGACCTCTGTGAAAGTGTTACAATCTGTAAAAGATAAAAATATTGCAAAAAAAAAACTCACCGTGTAGCCCTGTGTGTAACCGTATCCCATGCTGGCAGCTGGAGCGTCAGATCCACATGCAGGACCAGATGCGGCAGCGGATGCAAGCGCTGCAGGTGGCGCGCGCCCGCGAGCTGTTCTACTGGTGGGCCGCCTTCTACACGGTCGGCCTGGTCGGCGCCGTCGCGGTGTAAGTGCCGCCGAGGATTAGGTTACCGGTCCCTGCTGTCAGTGTAGCTAGCCTCCTTCAGATTCGTGAAATTAGCATTCTTGCCGCTGTCGGTAATCGGTATGAAATTAGCTGGATGTGTGCTAAATGACATCTGTGAACGGGCAAAGGTTGGCTAGGTAGGGAAAGCTGTCATAGTGGACGAGAAATACGGAGTTTTTTATATTACGCGCCCCTCGTAGCTCTACCCCGATCTGCTGACCCCCACCGCGCCGCGCTGGCAGGGCACGGCGGACCGGTCGGCGCACCGCCCTGTTCCCGTTCTTCCCGCTAACGTTCATCGTCGGATACCAGGCCGATCTGGCATACGGAAACAAACTGGAACGCATCAGAGGTAAGGTTTTGTTCGCAAGGGGTGAGTTTGACTCGTCCGGAAATAGTGTTGGGAGAATGTGTTTTTGTGAGTGAAATAGTTTCGGTTCATTGGCCGCACATCCGCATTACGTGCACACTTTGCGACTACATGCTGCAGCCGATACTGCTGCTGGCCCTCCCCGTTGATGACTGACCCGCCCCGATTTGTTTGTTTCGTTGGGTAAGGCCCTTTCGGTCCAATTAGACCATTTCAGAGCCGGAAGGATGATAGGAATTAGGGGGAGACATTGGTCTGGACAGGCACCCTAGTGAGTCACCGGGGCTGAGCCCTTCCCGAAAGACAGGACGACCAGCCCCAAGGTACTCACTGCACTCGGCTACGGGGTGCGCTCCCTCGGGAGCAGCGGTGCCGCTCCAAGGGAGCAGCCCGCATGAGATAAAGCTGCCTGTCCAGTCCGGAGGGGGGTTGCGGCGTGGAGGAGAAGGATTTCAGTACCCTGAGGACAGAAGCAAGGAACGGTGTGACCGCCTCGACGACCTGACCTGACCCAACCCGAACCAATGGCTGACCTGACCTGCCCCGTCGTCCCGCCCTGCGCTTTCAGCGGAGGCGGAGCACATTATGCGCTCGGAGACGGAGCTGCTGGAACCGCCGTGCGGAGTGCCCACCACCTCCGGCATTGACGCCGCTCGCCACAAGCTCAGCGACGAGCAGAGGTACACGCGCAAGGTGCGCGACGTCTACATGTAGTCCGTGCTGCCACCTAGTGGCGGCGGCGTAACTGCAGCTTCGCGCCGCCGCCGCCGTCCGGTGTGCTGCTGCGCCTTATAGAAGCATGCGTCCTGTAGCATCCAGTAGAGAGGATGCGTTGATGGAAGGGAGGGAGGGTTAGCCGTGCGTCCGCCTTGCCTGCCCGGGCCTGTGGCTTAGCTGTGACGTCATATCGTGTGAGTGACGTCGGACCGTTTGACTGTGGCGTCCTGTCGTGTGAGAGGTCGTGTGACGTGTGTGTCTGTGTGTGTTTGTGCGTCTCTCACTGCTGACGCAGCCGTAGGTCGCCTCCAAAAGCCGGTGGTCCGGTTGGTAGTTGCAAGTTGGGTTGATTACGTGCATAAGCCAGAGCAGGTATGGGCTACTTGTTAGTGATAGCTGATAATGATAGTGATCGAGGGAAGCAATGGTCACAGCTCACAATTTTTTTTCACAAACTGGTGCTGTTGTCACTCAGAGTTCGTTCTAACCAACAATGCCTGCCGAGGATGAGTTTTATGGCAGAGCCGGGCGGCTACCGCCTATTATTTGCTTCGAGTAGCACCTACGAATAATTCTTTAGTCGTGCTATGTTAAACCTGGTATTTTTCTACCTCCGTTTAGCAGTTGTTGTGTCTGGTTATTTCCCGATGAGCTGGCTTAGTGCTATTGTCGGTTTAATGAAGCTCAAACTGCCAGTAACTTTCCGGTAGAACGGTTCGATTTCCGTCTGAACTTAAACGTACAGCAGCCCTGCGGTTTTTCTCAAGTGTTTTCCCTGTGACTAATTTAGAAACTATTTAGAGTTCTGTTATTTTTCAGAGACCATACTTTGGGTAAAGTGTAGTTAGAGCGTATATATTCTAGCTGTTTAGCTCAGGCTAACTTATGTGACTATAATTGTATCTGCTAGGTGTGTTATGCATGGACCTATTTCAGTCAAGTTTATCGTTGACGTCTGAAATCCCAGAATAGGGTTCTGTGGATATGTCAAAATTATGTCTTAGGCGATACCTATGGCATCTAGGTGCCCACACCAATTACCAAGATGCATCTACGATTGTGTTGTCTGACTAAAATATTGACCTTCGTTTTAAGATTTAGTTAAGTCGTCCTATCTTAAGCAGGGAATATCGTTTGTAAGGCCTGGCCTAAAACGCCTGGAAGGGGCTAGCTAACAAGTTGCCACTGCGGTGGCTGTGATAGGGAATGGATGTTAGGTGCGTGTTTTAACCGTGTGCCGCCCGCCGGCGTAATGTTATGTGCAATGTGCACTGATTTGTAGATAACCCGTGAGGTGTAATTAAGGTTGTGGGCTGATTTTGCATAACTTGTTTCCATTTGTAATTCGAAATACAAATATATTTGCATATTCATAATTGTTATACAATCAAACTTTTGTCTAAAGCACCTTAGTTGTCACATCTGACCCTTCACATGATTTGATTCCAAACAGTGGGGTCCACGACTGGCCCAGACATATGATCCACTGATGGGATGAGACCGATCTCAGGTCAGCCTGACCTGCTCCTGTTGATCGTTCTCCCCTATCCTTACCGCCTGTCCCGGTCCCCGCTGCTGCCAGTTTCCCTCCTGTTTTAACTCCCCCCCCCCCCACCTCCTGCTGACAGATTCCTCTCCCCTCCTGTCCGCCAGACTGAACCTCCGGCGGCCACCTTGTCCCATCTCCTGCTAACAGTCTCCCCTCCTGTCCGCCAGACTGAACCTCCGGCGGCCGCCCTGCCCTATCTGCTGCTGACCTGGACTTGTCTCACATCCTGACCGTCCTCGCGAAATCCCTACACTTCGCACACCGAGTGGCCGACAAGGGCGAATACAGTAGAAAGTGGTATTTCGAAGTCATTGTCTCTGAAAGCCGCTATCTCTGAAACTTGAAAGGTATGTTTGCATTTGGTATGTTGAGGGCGTTAGCTGGGTGTGTTTTGAAGGGATGCCATGTCAGGATTGAAACATGTAGAAAAATGCACAGTGCCTTTGGGAAACATTGACCTCTTTGGTTCGGTAGTGTAGATACGCGCTCCAGCGGTAAGCGCTCATGCATGAGCAACTGTCACCACTGCTACACGCATTGGTGTGTTTGGATGCATGGTTCCTCGGCTGATGCCCCACGCCCGCTTCTGTAGCTTTGGCTTCAGCGTGTCCGCTTGCTTAAATGCCTGCTGTGTCGTCGGTCCTTATTGTTTACATAGATATTTGTGTGTTTCTGCATGCTTATGATTGATCATTGAAGTGTGTTTGCTTTGGTCATGAAAAGGTGTGGATGGTGTTATGAAAAGGAGTGGACCCAGTAGCATGTCAACATCCCGGTGTTTGGACCACATTTCGACTAATACCCTTATTTAGTTTGAATTTCTGCTACCATTATCTGGTGGTTCGATATATACCGGGGCTTGGCTCGTTCCTTTCGATACTCTGCCACTGCGACCGATCTAACCTGGACTGATTGGACGCGTGATGTTCGATCTGACCCAGCCTTTCCGGCCCGTGGTTTGACCACAGGAGTCGACCTAGGTCCACACTGCACTAGCCGGCGGACTCCTGTCAGCTCGGGGAGGTCAGTTCAGAGCGGTTCCGGACCCCTCAGTGCCTCCAGTGCTGCCTACGAGGCTCTGCCGCCGTCTGAACCTCGGCGACTAAATGCAATACGAATAGCAGGCAAGGTAGTTAACGGTGTCACCGTCGAGATAATCACAAACGTATCTAGCTAGTATGACGGGCTGTTCAAAGTGCGGGATTTGCCGTTCGATTGTGTTCTTTGCATCTGCGGCCCCTGGCCTTTGGAAAGGATGGTCACTGCCGAATTACCTGACCGTTGTGATGGGCCTGGCTGTTTGAGTGTACGGGAGGCTGAGCTCCTGATCAGCGCTGGGGGCGCGGTCAAAGGTCGAATTTGTGTTCTTCTTAGTAAATGAGTGTAGTGATTGCCACAATCATTACAGTGTCCCGGTGATTACGATATGGGACTGTATGATTGTTATGTGCCTCCATACAATACATGAGTCGCTCTCATGTTCCATTGTCAAAATTCCTTCCGCAAGCCGGAGGGGGGGGGGGGGGGCATGACGTTCACAGCACAGGCACTGTTAGTTACGTGCATTTATTATTTCGACTACTGGCTGAAAAGGTTCAAGAATTACGACAGTAATTTTCGTAAATGCGTTTGCAATTACGTTATGTCATTTGCATTGTCTCAGAATTCATTTATCTGTGTGTTTTAGCCCACATTAATTGCCATCTTTGGCATATTTTCTCACGTCACAATTATTTACGTCGTATTGCTACGTCTTACTCGCCGGCCCGGGCAGGAAATTATTAGCAGGATGCAGGAAGGGACCTATTATTTCACGCCTGGCTATGAGCGCAATTGTAACCTGATACGTGCTTTCGCATGAGGCCCCGAGTCTGCCTGTAGTGGGTGGGGGCTGACTCATGCTCCACTTTCTTCCGTTTGTGGTATCGGAGAGCTAACGTAGACTCGCGCTCTACTCCTTCGGCCCTGGCACGCAGTAAGAAGATGGGACCATTTAATCTGATGCAGAGCGAGCCATTTGGTTTCTCGAGGATTCACTTCGAAGTAGCAAACAGCGTCATGTTCGGTTTGTTCCGGTGTCGCAGTCCAACGCACACGACTTCCATTCAACCGCCTCCGAGATAACTGTCCTGTTTTAATTGCAGTCCTTACTGGTTTCATCTTTCCCAAAGCCGCATTTACCTTCTTGGTGTTCTAGCCTCTAGAAGATACCCTTCTCAATTCAGCCAACAATGTACGCAAGACGGTCGCCACATTCAACGAACAGCTCGACAGTACTGCGATGTATTTTACACAATGTCACAGGCACTTATAAGGCAGCTCGTGGTCACAATACACACGCTCAGCAGACGTATACACGCGCGATTCAACAAAATATCAGTCGGTAACGCCCAGAACTGCCCACAGATGGCAGTTCGAGCGCCGAGCGGCGGACAGCACAGAGCGGAGCGCCGCTCACAACAAAACGCCAGCACGCGCGCCGGCGAGACAAATAAATAACAACAGCGGAGGTACGATTCCCGAGTCGAGCACTTTGAACTGGCAACTGATTCAGCGGACGCCGCCGGGCCGGCGCGAGTCTCCGGCCGAGACTGCGCCGTCAATACTGAGCTGGCTGACTGCCGGCGGCCGCCCGCGGCACCGGCCTCCCCCCCCCCCCCTCCTCTGCGCGGCGCGGCGCTACTTTGTTGAGCTCCTCCGTTCCACGAAGGGCGGCGGCGTGGCGGTGGCTCGCGCTCTCCTGCCGCCCCTCCGTCCCGTCTCCGTCCCACACTCGGGTGTGTGCACCTCCACCTTGACGTGTGTGGTGGCCGTCACTTTGGTGGTGAGACAGCGGCCGTCGTCGGGCTGTGCTCCGTCCGGGTAGCACGTCTCGACCACCAGACGCGGCTCGACCACGATATCGTGTGTGCGCCGCTCGCGCCGGCCGCCGGACGCCGCCGAGCCGGAGGACTCCTCGGAGATGGTGCTGAGACTGAGGCGACTCTCGGCCGGCTGCAGCCGCCGGGAGCCGCCTCCCCCGCCGCCGCCCGCCGCCTTCCCCAGCGAGGCGGAACGGTACACTCGCGGGCCGCGGACCCGCGGAGGGGACGGCTCCGGACTGGGGGCGGGCAGCACGGCGCCGCCGAGCCGCGGCCGTACCTCGGCCGGCGGGCCGAGCCAGCAGAGCAGCACGGGCAGCACGGCCAGCCCGTTCACCAGGCCCAGCAGCACCAGCGAGGCCAGCACGCAGAAAAAGTACCTGGAACGGACAGACGGCGGCCGGTCAGCGAGGGAGGAACGCTCAGCTCAGAGCGGTCCAACTAGGCAGAACGTTTGGTGACACATTGGAGACACCAAACGCGCGTCGATTAGCAGCAGCAGGCAGTTATATGTATAGCTCCAACTCGAACGTCTACAAGTCACCGGACGAGAGAACTCTCCCAGCTAGTCAGCGGCGCGACGCCAGCGCCCCCTGCTCCGTCCCGCTCGCCGTTCCGTTACCGAGTCTGCCCCAACCCCGGCGCGTTCCGTCGTTGACGCGTGCTCCGGCGGGCCGGCGCGGTGGGTGGTCGGCCGGCGGTGTGGCCGCTCGTCCGGCGGCCGTCACTGAGCCGCTCCCTGGCAGACGCCAACCCAGGATGTGTGTCTGTACCGGGCCGTAAATACCGGGCCCGGTAAATGGCGTAAATGGCGGCCGCTCAGAACACAGGCCGGTGCGTGGGTCGACCAGCCGCCGCTGGCCTGCCGCCCGCTCTGCGAGCTCAGAGATTCGCCGCAGATACACGGTGGTCTGAGGTGGTCTTGCTCCTTAGCCAGTTAAAGATAATAGTGAATCACGGCGCATCGAGTCGCACTTGCTGAAATACCAAATAGACTCCCACCCAATAGTAGCGTGATCCCTCTCAACAGCCTGAAGTCGCTTCTGACAGAAGGCATGAAGACGTCAAACAGTGCTCTCAAAGTTAGCCAATGTGCAAGTTCCATCTTCAGTATAACTACTTTTATTTGATCCCGGAGGTCCTTGACCATTCCTAACTACTCCAACCTCTCCAGTTCCAGAACAAGTCCAGCAAGGGAAATATTTCCGGACGCGGGTCTCGGCCCAACTTCACGTGGGCAGCAGCCTCACGACGCACGCCGCCCCGTAAATAGTCCGATATCAGCCGATCGGAACTGCCGACAGGAGAACCGGGACTGATGGGGACACCGCTCGGCCCAGCTCGGGTCCCACGTGTAGCGCCGTCTCTGTATAACGGATCTCCCGACCACCGAGACCCCTTTCCCGGCACGGAGTCACGGCCACCCGGCGCGGGCCTCCCAATTTGTTGCGGTTTATCTCGTTTGTTGGTGTCAGTGTCCGTGCTGGCGTCATCCGTCAACCGACCGCAGAGCGCGCTGCCGCCGGGTGGTCCCCGAGATCCCGCTCCGCGCTAATCCCTGACATCTCCGAGTCATGACGTGCCCGTGCAGACGGACCGGCAGCCTCAGCCCCGATCCCGTGTTAACACGGAGAGACGACGGAAGGCAATTATCCGGCGAGTGATACCGGGAGCGGAGCGGCGGCCCGGGCCCCGATCGGCGACGTTTTTCTACAGCGCCGCCGGTCCGATCGGCTGTAATCTCTCCGAACAATAGCCGCGCCTCGGAACGGTAGCCGCAGCCTGGCCGGAGAGCAGGTGTCCGCTGGCCGGCCGTGTGTGGTCGCCGTGAGGACAGGCGCGGGTATTTCTCGGGACTGACTGGGTGCTGCCGACGGCCGCTCCTCGACACGTGTTCTGGGGCTTAGACAAGTGCTCGTATCCAGTCCAGCGTTCGAGCAATATCAGTCTACACTAGCTGAGGCGA